CTGTTATATTACTCAAATTCTCTGTGAATTTTAGTAGCACATTACATTCATGAGTTAAAAACCAGAAATTATATATTTTTTGCTAGTTTTTTGGTGTCTTCTTTTAGAAGGATATTGTGTATTATAATAATTACTAGGGACCCAGGGCTTTGTCCCTCCTCCCCTCGAGCCCATCTAAAACTTACCTGGTTGAGGTATCTTTTCAGATTACGTGCCTTCAACAGCTCTCCTTTACCAGCTCCCTTTGATGTCTTTGTTCCTACTTCTGATCTCTTTGCCTTCTTCATATTTTGAATGTTGGTTGCTTGCATAATTTCAGTTAAAATGTGACACCTAAAATTGAAGAAATCATCAATTATTAGTCAATCAATCAATTAATCATTACTATAAGATTTTAATTATTATTTTTCTCATTTTTATCATTATTATTTTTATAATTAGAGAAGAATAACTTCCTTTTTTGTTACTTTGATATGATTCAGAAAATGTTATATTCAAACATCTATATCTTAATAATCATTGAAAAATGAAAGACTGGAAAAGAAAAAAGTGAAGAAATCCAATTACTGCATATCAAGGCAAGAAATGCCAATGACAAAATGGAAATAAATCAAACGTCAAATGAACATACCCTACATAATATTACATTGACTATTTTGAATAATTAATTCATAAATATATGCATCAATTATAAATAAGGAACCTGATTTGTTAAAGTTCTTGGGGGTCATGACAGCTATTAAACTGCTTAAAATTTCAATACATTGACAATTTTGAATAATTTATTCAGCCCATGAAATAAGGAAAAAATTAGGTTGGCAAAAATTTGCCGACCTTAAATTCTCCGAGGTCGGCAGCCTCGGCAATTTTTTACTACCTAGGCCTATAGTCTAAACTATGATTTTTCCGAACGCTCGACCTTAGTATAATACATATGTTTTAAATAAGAATAATGCCAAATAAATTTCGTTTTAGCGTTCGTTTTATCGTTATCTTTGGCATGGGAAATATCACTTTCGTAAAAGCTACGATCGTATCATCACAGGCTGCTTCAAAACTGCCATGTATGCATGTCCATGCGCATGCCCAGAATGATCTATCAGGGATTTTCCACACATGTACTGTGTAATTGTCAGTAGAGAAGTCGCGATGCGAACGTGATTGCGTTTAAACGGGCGGTAGGATTAGGCCTACAATATGTAGAATTTTGTTGTTTTTAGATAATAAACAACATTTTAAATATGATAATAATACTGTAAAATAATGACCAAAACATGCTGGCATGTTAAAATCTTTGAAATCTATTTTATTACACTAAACTAACTTTTATATATTTATATATCATGCTATGATGTTATTTTCCTCATTTTCAACATTAAAGCTAAAATTTTTAACAACTTACTGATGGTTTTTGCTAGAGAAATAACCAAAATCATAAACTTTAGAGACTGATATCTCAAATATTGTTCTTTAAACAGCTCTATGTTTAAACTCTTGTAGCTTTATAATGAAATGTTGGATTTAAATGATTCTTTCACCATTTTATAGCTCTCATTTTATTGTTTAACCATGAATTAACAACTAAAAATTGATTTTTGTGACGAGTGATAAATATCTTATCAGATCTTTGGAGATTTCAAGGCAGTAGAGGGTGTAATAACATTTTTTAAAAACTTTTATTTTTTTCTGAAATTTCCATTAAAATTTTATTTTTATTTAAAATCATCAATATTTGCAAATGGCAGGTTCGCTAAACAAGGAAAAAAAAATCTCGCCTTAACTGTCTTGCACTGTTCAGTTCACCTAGTTTACTAACCCATGCAACATCAACTACATATAAAGTTAATCAGGTTAATACACATCATCACTTGGTTAAGTAATATGTGCTGATCACCAGTATTTGAACTAGAAATGCTCCTTTTATGCTGGGCAGTAAATGCATAGCCCCCTCACAATGTGATTATTTTCTTG